ATAAAGTTCTAAGAATTTTTTCAGAATTTTTTATCAACTTTTTAATACTGTACTTTCGCATTTTCTGCATTTTCTTACCAACATGAGAAAATACGGTATTAAAAAATTCTGAAAAAATTCTAAAAAAATTCTCAGAACTTTATGAGAAGAAAATAAATGATGTTTGTCTCTTGCAGTTTTTTTTGTTCAAAAAATTATTCAAGATATTTGCCAATTTTTAATAATTAATATCTTGTTAACTTTGCGAAAATTGCAAAATGGTAAAGGACTTTTCGACTCAGTTTAGTCCTCTCTACCTGCTCATGAAATATTTGGCGATTATTTCCAGACACCCAGTATATCCGACTCAAATCGATACATCATTCTATTTTTCTCGACATTCATTCAGTGGGTAACAATGGTAGAACGACACTCGTATTGACTTGTGTCATCAAATGGAAACCGTTTATACCGTTATTTTGACGATTATCCGCGACATCGAAGTTACTTTTTCTTAAAACGAAATACCGCACGGAATCTAAATGTCGCGACGAAAAGTTTCTCGACATAAAACCAAGGGAGTAACAATAGGTATTTTCATTAGTCGAGTGGTTCGGTCCAACGGTAGATATTTGATTCGCTTTTTATCGCACGACTTCGCATTCCGGTCCGTGTAGTCGCTTCGTCGAACAGGATCGGAAAAACGCCCGCAACGCTGACTTCTCGATCGTAATGTCGGAAGAAACTCCGCTTAGAAGTAAACAGCATTGTGAATACACTCCGAATGGCGCTTTATTTATTCCGGAATTTCATTTCGCGCGCAAGAAAGCCACGCTGTTATTGCTCTCCTATCAAAATAATATCTCGCGTCGGGTGTTTTCTTCGAGAGAAGTAAAAGGTGTCCGAGTTTGCCTCCCTAACTCTCGTACGACGGTTTTTAAATTCGCCTGTAAACTGAGACCGATGTCTTATCTAATCTTAATATAATTGCGAAGAGCGCGCGTCATATAAAATAGCTTATTATACTATAGAAAAGTTGATTCGGGGACTATAATACAGGGTTTGGAAATTAGCCTCGCCCGTCTGCCTATCTACAATGGTGATGATTATGTCTACTTATAGGTATAACTACCTACGTGCGCCAAACTACCCGTCTACCGTCTGAAATAATCTTCGCGGTCCTGCCTTCGTCGCCCCCTTCTCGTCCGATGAGCTTGTCGAAACTAGTTTATGAAACGAGTTCGGAAACCAATGACCTCTTCTCCGCGTAGTTCTACGATATCACGATGTAGTGACGAAGCTTGTTTATGTGTTACAGATTTGAGGAGAGACACTACGCTTTCGAAAGGTACGCTCAACTTCACTCAAAATGCATGCCGCTTTTTTTTTCCACTATACGTTCACGGTATCTTTCTTTTATTCCTGCGTGAAAGTTTGCCAGTTTCGTGCATTTTAGATCTGTGCCAAAATAGGCGTAGTGCACAATGATGAATAATCTAAGCTTATTATTAATACATAGAAAAAAAAATAGTTTCTGATCACAGTTTCTGATTCTGATTAGCTGAAATTGCATTAGCTACTATAGCTATGAAATTTGCTAATACATACAAAGGATTTGCTGCTGTAGTTAATATAAAGCTAATGACAGCAAAATATGCATGTCTCTTACAATTGTCAATTTATTTAGCAACATAAAGTTAGTTGTCATAGTTATCGGATATGTCCGTGTAAAAGAAAATTGTCTCTACCACATCAAATATGATTTGCTGAAACTGTACTGCTATCAAATTGTTCGCTGCACAGAAAATTATTTGTTGCAATGATCAAAAATGTTTGTCTTACAATGAGAATTTTTATGCCTCACAGTTAATGGGAATGGGAATTAGACCTCAAGCAGACACAACTTTAGATATTCATATAATATACTACTGAATTTAACTGCCTGAATTTAAATACCTAATTTTTAGCTGTGGCAGCTAATCTTCTTTTCTGTGTAGTAATGGCTGCGTTCAGCAGAAAAATCAAAATTCTTTAATACGATTGGTTCATACATTAAGATCCAGTGAGGAACTAAGGGCAAGATCATATTAAAGAATTTTACAATAGTTGCAAAGCTACTTTTTCTACTGAACACAATGCATTCTTCCACACACACACACACACATACACACATATATGTATGCACGAAAGTCTCAAGACCGAACAGTCATTTAAAAGCGGACGTTACCGCAAAGTATGTAAGTGTTATCCAAATGCGAGACGTAGTCGCGATTCTCTCACAGCTATACATTATACATACGTGTTATTATCACGTACGCGCCCTATAATAACGACTTTTCGCATGGCGGGCAAACTATCGAATGAACGTCGTGTTCGGTGACGAAACGCGATTATGTAAAAACTATATATGAGTGGAGCGCGCGCCGAATTGCAAAGCAGCAGTTTTGGGGGCTGTCGAATGCGCTCGTTGTATTATAATGCACAGCCCAGCCGTGCTTTTGTTTTCCGTATGATTGCCGAGCGGCTTGTTCTCGCTCCTTATGTGGATCGCGAGCTGTTTTAAAAAACTCGAGACGTTTATCGCGGCTAGAAGGCGAGCCTCCGAGACGATCATTCGCGCCTTTGAGAATCCCCGAAGGGATTCGTCGCATCCGAATCTTGCTCATTTTTTTTTCCTTTCCTTCTGCACGTCGATAGCGTTTAGCTTTACGTATTGCTCTTTTAATCATCGCCATTACAGTCGATCGCGTTTTATTGGCACGACGGAGCTTCCTTATTACGACAGAAAATAGGAATGCAACTTATGGAGCGTCAAGAGGGTACGGGCGTATATAGAGTTCAATGCTCGTCGATTCAGCTCGGTACAATTCCACCCGAGCCCTACGACCGTCTTAAAAGGCGTTTTAAATCGGCGTGTCGTGAAAGAATCCCATAGAGATGCGGCATATAAAGGCATTCCACCAACCCTCCTACCCTTTTTTTTTCCTTCTTCTCTCATCAACGTTCAGCGCATCGATCTATCCCATTTCCCTCGTCCGGCTCGTTGCGTATTTTCCGTAACGCGCATTATTCGTCTGTGAATAATTTATGTATTATTTTCCCGTCATCAGCGATCTCGGCGATGCGTAATTTATAATTTACGATTCGCGTTCCGATTCATTCGCGCGAGCGGTGCGACGTACTCGCCTGACTTTTCAGAAATTTGCGATTCCATCAGACGTATCGTGCGAAACGTTAATAATAAAAACGAAAAAGCATATATTTGAGGATTGCCGCGACAAGTGTGCGGGCTCTCTCCTATTCATTTATTCCATAAATCTGACGATAAATAACCGACATATTGGGGCGTATTCGCGTGGCTCCGGATCCCGCGGTTGCTTATCGTATCCCACAAATGCGCCGGAACGCATTTAAAATGTATTGAACTGTCACGGAGCAGTGGTTTTCCGGATTTTTACATTTTTCATCGGCGCCCGCCCTGGATTAGTGAGTTATTGTTGTTCTAAGTGCGTCGGTCAAAGGGAGTGAGTTCTACCCCAAGTTCTACCGCGGTAATCCTGACCATAACGGCTCGCACCCCACAAAAATCCCCTCCTAGCTTTCTCCTCCCTTCGTCCCGAATCTCGCGCCAAATAGCCGCTATTTGCCGATGCATTTGTTGAATTTCATAACCGAATATGATTTTCACGATTTTCGCAGCGTGAAAACGATTGCTATCAAACGTTCAATCGTTATCACAAGCGCGATCGAGATATGACGAATAATGGCTGCGTTCAGCGCAGAAAGCAGTGCAATTGTTGTAAAATTCTTCAATATGATTGGTTTATACATTTAGATCCAATGAAGAACTAAGAGCAAGAATAATCATATCAAAGAATTTTACAACAGTTGCAAAGTTGCTTTCTCTGCTGAACGCAGCCAATTAGGAACACGAAAATATATATAGGAGTCAGATGCGTATCGGTGCGCTAAAAATTATTCATGTTATAATATAATAACATATATAAATATAAAAATAAATGGTTTACAATAATTGATAACATTTCGGCTCTACTTTGAGCCCTCTTCAGATTTTATAATAAATAAAAGGCATTAAAATAATTGAATTTCTTATCAGAGTTATGATGGTGAAAATTGATATTCGTTTTTTTTTTGTAATGTAAGTGATGTTCGTTTTTAAACAATGTCGATACTTTGCGGCAGCTTTCAGCGAGAATATCTATGGAAGAATTGCCGAAACGATTGACAAAGGAAAAACACGATCGCTATTATAGGGCATATAGGGACGTAGACCAATTTGATGTTAGAGACGAGGCAGTACGTTGCAGTGAACTCGACAGATATCGGCCTTCGAGTTTGTACCTCATTTTCATAGATACATATTTGCACGGCATTTATAGCGACATTTTCGCACGCAAGAAAACTTTCTATATGCACATATATGTTTCCCTATTAATTTCAAAAGATTGAAAGAAGTTTGTATAACGTGAATGTCTGATCCTTGCATTTAAATCTTTTCATATGCACGGATATCCCTCAATTATAGATAATATTTTTAATAGAATAATTTTTCAATCCTAATATATAAAAATACCGAAATCATACGCGATCTAATAACATTGCATAAAGTTCATGGATTCCACGCTTGATTTGTTATTTCTCATAGTTAAAATAACATCAAATTTTAGTGATGATTTCATCTTCTGATTTTTCCAGTATAACAGTAAAATGTTATAAGTTCGTAAATACCAGTTAATATTATTAAATATGAATGAATAAGCTATGAAAGATTAGGATAAAATTAACACATTATACAAATTAATAGAATTTAATTATTGTTAACATATAAATATAATTATCATTAGTACGTAAATGCAATAATCATTAGCACGTTTTTACTAAATTATTTTACTAATTATATGAAGACATGTAATTCGCATTAATTTACATTAATTTGCACTTATCTATCTTAGCTTATTCATTTCAAGATAATGGATTTATGAGGTATTAGGTACAATTACCTGTATTATTCACAAATCCTTACTCCAATTCAAAATAATTTCAGACTCATCCCAGTACGATGTACAGCAGCGGATCGTAGTGTCGTCACTACGTCGTTATCTGTAAAATACAATATAAAACTGAATTATAGCAGCGATCAAAACAGTTAATAATATTTAATTCTAGAAAGTCGCGATACTAAAATTTTTACAAAAGATGCGTGTTTCTGGGAAACACACATATAAATTTATAAACTGATTGTACTTTAACTTTCTGATTAAAAACGTATACTGATAAAAATTTAGTAAAAACAATTCGAGCTATGTATACAGCTTATATGAAATATTCCCGAAATTGCAACGGCAAAGCAGTTTATTTAGTTGGCATTTTACTTTTTTAAATACAATCCGCCCGCGACTTCTTGAGAGTTAAAAAAAATTATTACGCACTATAAACATATAAAATAATTATAACTTTCAAAAAAGATTCTCTATCTTAAATACAAATTTTTGTAAAATTACATACAATATTAAATACAATATTAAATTCTTCTAAAATTTTATGAGTGGAAATTGTTTTGTCTGATTTTTACCTTTGAATGATTCGAAAAAAACCGGAAACAGATAGAATTGACACTAAACTCAAATAATGAATAAATAATGAATAAATAATAAGACTTACCCCTGGATTGCTCCGCCGTTGCCCGATGCTTTTCAGGCCTCGTTTCAGCTTCCGTTGCACACGCACACTACACGCACATTACTCGCGAAAACGCAGTTGATCACGGATTGCGTACTATTCATCGCAAAAATTATAAAAATCGGCACTCAAAACGGCACTCCCGATATTAATTATATGATATTGATTCTACAATGAATCGGTAGTCTAAGTCCTAAGTCTTATCGATGAAGTTAAAAGAGTCCTCTACATAGCTAAGTCATATAGATGTCATGGAATCTTAAATCATAGGAAACTAATCAATCACAATCAAATATAAGGAGAATACTCGATTAAAATTGATCAGTTTGCTACCACTTAAAACTTCACGACCGTCTACGGCTTCTATGTGAGAGGATCCTTTAATCAATAGCCAACTTCACGATTAAACCTAAGCTTCCGATTACCGACATATTGTAGAATCAGTAATACGCGACATTTCTACGAAATATACGAAATATCAGTAATACGGCTTACCGTTAACACGAATCATTCGATACAACTCGCGGGTCACAATTGCGTTCTCAATTCGGAGATATTTAAGTCGATAAAAGATTCGGAGCCCGACGTGGAGCATGTTCGTATTATAACAATAAGTATCGTCGCGAGAAATGATTACCTTGCGTAAATTGCAACGGAGTGGTAAGTTTTCACCTTTCCATCGGCTACCGCCATAATGTGGAATATCTTTACGCGGAAGAACCGCACGAAGTGCGCTGCGAGAAATAATAACCTCCACTTCAGGCGCTTGCAAAGCGACTAATGACTCGTACGAGTTAACGAAATGGAGCGAATCGATAATCTCTCATCGTAGAGGATAAAGAATGATCGCGTGTCGTCTCCTAGAACTCGTTATCACACTCGAATAGACACACAGAACAACGCGAAAACACGCGTCGCTACTAGCCGATCGCTCGAGCGGTAAACAAATGATAAGTTGGTATCCTTGCGGCGTCGCGCGGGAAAGCGTGACGTCACACGACAAACAACTTTGAAAATTAACGTACACCGATATTTCGAGATACCGTTACGATTCTACAACGAACAATTCCGACGAGTAGATTATCACGTATTTCACGTTTCCGCTTCACGTTACTCGCACTTTTTGTTGCGAGTATCAAAATCTACGCTTTCTCTCTTCTCTTCAACGCCCAATTATACACATTTACCTTGTTTTACATGCGACAATTTTTGAGTATTTCAAGCAACGTGAAGTCGCGAACAAACCTTTGTCCCGCGGATTATTGGCGTTGAACTACCCACGAAATCTTAATGCTCTCGTTCGATTGAGAAGCCGTAGAGAAGCCTGATTGAGAATATCGTTACTTGTGCCAGGCGATTAATAATATTTTGATTAATCGATAATCGTGCGGCGCAACTAGCGACATCTTCATTAGGCTCCTCGAGCGAGATCATCCTCGGCTAATTTCAAGGTAAACGAATTCACGAGGGAACGCGACGTGTTCGGTAATGACTGCTCGTCACTGCTCATCAAATTATTCACGACACAGGTATATATCGGAATGTCTTGACGTACGTTTGTTTGTTTTCAAAGTTGCCGTTTGTTTATACTACGTCACCTCGAAACGCTCGAACGCTCGGTGTATCTATTGTTAGCATTTTGTCTACAGCTCGAGCGAATTACAGTAGCGATCGTTCCGCCATTAGAGAATTTCTGCAATACCGTTTATCCAGATACGATGAACGCTAAGGTTACATTATTTTCTTCTTAACAACTAATTAAGAAAAGAATAACGTGATTTTAACGTTCGCTGTATATCTGGATCCATATGATTGCAAAAACTCCCTGTTATCTTTCTGAAAGCGACAGTGATAGTATATGAAGCACAATCATTCTCTACGATTCTCTATAATTAAAGGTTACAATTAAAGATTTGTTTCAAATTAATTACTTCTACTTGTACGGTTAACTCCTCACAAGCGTCCCGGGACGGAAATTATTTTTCAAAGCAGATTTTACACCGTTTATCCAGATATAGTGAACGCTAAGATCAGGTTATCTTCTTCTTAACAACTATTTAAGAAAAGGATAATGTGATTTTAGCGTTCATCGTATCTGGATTCACGTTATTGCAAAAACTCTCTATTGGCATCTCTACAATCGATGAAAAACTTAACGCCTCGTTGCGATATTTGTATAAAAAAATCATTCCTCGCGAAATAAATTCTATTTGTTCGCGTTGCTTGAAATCCCCTAAAATTTTTGCATTTAAAACAAAGTAACTTCTATTTAAAGTGTTTGGAATGAAATCTTGTGCTTGTCTTGAAAAAGAGTGACTCAATTTTCAATCTTTAAGAATAAGATTTCATTCTTTTCAGTGAGATTTATTCTAAAAAAAAGTTTTAGAGATAGAGTATTTGAACGTTGAAAAGAGAAAATTAAGGCGAAGATTTTGAATGCAAGAAACGCGATTAGGGAGTTAATTATGGAAAATGAGAAAATCTTAAAATGAGATGAAAATTGAAGTAAACAAATTCACTAGAATATTTATAATTTCATTCAATACGTAATGCGCGAATTGCCAATCGAATAATTCGTGTAAGAGAAAACCATGATGTATAGATCGTTATTACTGATATCTTGTGTATTTTGCGGGAATGTGCGTTGCATACAATTAATATCGGTGAGATTAATAGCTGGGATACGTTTTCGCGAGTGTTGTGTTCTGTATCAGCAACGACGGAAGCTGACAATGAAAAGAGGCGGCCTGGCAGGTGTCATCAGATAACGGCGGAGCAACTATGAGGTGAGTAACGTATATTATTTAATTATTTTATTTGTTATCAGCTGACTTAATCATTCATATCTGTTCGATGCGCCAACAATTATTTTTTGAAAAATTAATTACTTTGAACGCTGCTTTAATTTCGATAAATATATGTATTTTGCAGATCAACGTAGTTCACAACTTCGCTGTTGCGCATCGTATCGGTGAGTGACAAACTATTTTATTTTTATTTGAGATAATAAATCTGTAAAAATTTAGTTAGACATGCCTAAAATGTTCATAGTTGTATATATTTATAAAATTATTAGCTTGAGAATAGAAGAATAGAAAAAAGTTTCATAAATCTGTCGTCTGAAATGGACAGGCTAAATTTAATTAAACTAATTCATTGAATCTTAATCTTAAAATTCATCGATTTGTATTATATGCAAGGATATTATCTAAAATAAAAATGGATGTCTGTCCAGAAAACACGATAAGGAAAATTTGTTAATGTATAAATTAGATGCGTCACTTTTTATTCTTCCTAATTTTTTTTCCTCTACATATATCTTTCAAAGGGGGGAGGAGGATTAAATACAGTACAAAATAATATAAAGAGACAATATTCACAATTAGATTTTTTTATATGTATGTCACATACGAAAGTAAAAAGAAATTCACGATTATATTCTAAATAACTTATTTTGTAAAAAATACAGTGATCATATTAATTATATTTATTTTTGTAACGAGTCAGTTAATTCAATCTTTTATAGCCTTTTCATCCATTAATTCAAATTCACCTGATAAAAAATCGATATTAATAATCTAATAATAATCGATAACAAATGTATCATATTTTCTTAAAGAAAATAAAGACAAATCTGAAAATTTTAGGGCTTTGTTCCTATAAGTTTTCAAACCAATTTGATTGTAAAGAATCTGTGCATTATAAAATTTTATTGCACAATGCCAATCAAATTGAGATAATGCGCAGTTTTTTGATAGTTTTTGATAGTTTTTATATAGTTTGAAACTGATTCTACAGTATTGGAACAACACCCTTGATCTGACATAATAAAAAATTCGAAATAATAAAAAATGAAAATAACTTTAATTTGAATAAATTTAATTTAAAAAATTAAAAAATATAATTAACAAAAACAAATTGTATTTATATGAAACTGTAAAATACTTTCCATAAAAATTTGTATATTAATATAATATATAAAATATGTATATTAATATAATATTCATTAATATAATAATATATTGATATAATATTAGACATTGAAAAGAATTTCCCGCAATGTCAAAATAAAGGACAAAAATAAAGGAAGTAAAAGATAATATTGGAAAATAAAGGACAAAATTGAATTTTAAAGAAACGACTAAATCTAAAAGACAGCTATCTAAAATAAAGGACTGTCCTTTACAATAAAGAACATATGGTCACCGTAATCATATTGAACACGCGTGTAGTTAAAACGAAAACTTAAATTTTATGTCCGATAATTACTCTCATTCATAATTCCAATTTAACAATTTGCTAGAGACGATCTTGATAATTTATTAGCGAAATACGCTATATAAAATAATGTACTCGTATAATACAATATAATCGCGAAACTCTGCGTAAAATCTTATCACGAAACTGTTTCCAATAACATAATCGGACGAGGAAAATTAAGATTGCGGGAAATCGAGATAGATATCAGGCCGTTGCAAGATTTTTACTTCTGGATTAAACTCGTGACATTAATGGGTACGGCAGGACAATTCACCCCAATTAATCCCGACGTGCGAGGGAGGAAGCGAATCTTATACGGGATCAACTAAGACCGGGAGCATCCTAATCTGCATCGGCAGATTGCTCTGAGAATTGACACCGAGAATTTTGCCTCCACCCTTCGAAGCAGTAGCATTTGACGTCTCATCTTGAATCAAACCCTCGGCCATCGTTTCCTTACAGCTTCTCCCGCGCCTTTTGCCACAAGACACAAACTCGATGCATATATTATACGTTGTCTTAATTGGAAAGCATTCCCCGAGCAGCTCGACTGCGTTACAACGATGTTATATATCTTTTTTTAACAGATTTTATCTTATCATTAAATTTTTTTTTTCTAAATTTAATTTAGGAGGAATTTAAGAGGATTAGTGATGTGTTTCGAAAGTTATCGGCTCGTAATCATATCTGAAATAAATTTATTTAAGGAGATTGTAAGGGCATAAAACACATATATTAATATTTACGTTTTAAACAAATTACATGCATGTGAAAGTTGTGTTCATAATATTTTTTTATTGAGCAACACATTTTTATAGATTATTT